GGGGAGGGGGGTTTGTGAGGTTTTAAGCAGGCACTTGGAAAGTCCACCGTAGCCCTTTTATACTAGCTGCCACATATCCTGGGCAAACTCCAGGCAACCTGTCTGGTAGATGGTAGACACAGTAAAGCTCATCACTCCCCCACCACCTTCATCAGTGCCGAGGACTAATTGGTAATCCCCTGCCCCCTTCCTAGGTGTTCAGGGCTGTAGCTGCGGTCCAGAAGGCAGCGGAGGAGTTGGCCTCCGGACACCTGGCCTCTGCCTTTGCTGCCAGCCAGGAAGCTGTGACATCCTCGGAGCGTGCCTTTTTTGATCCCTCGCTCCTCCATCTCCTCTATTTCCCGGATGACCAGAAGTTTGCCATCTACATCCCGCTTTTCCTGCCTATGGCTGTGCCCATCCTCCTGTCTCTGGTCAAGATCTTCCTGGAGAGTCGCAAGTCCTGGAAAAAGCCAGAGAAGACAGACTGAGCAGGAGAGCATCTCAGTAGGAAGCCTTCCTTTCTGGCCAAGGTGGGAGGTGTTAGATCGAGAGGCACGTAAATGGGGCCTGCCCTGAATGATCTATCTCCAGCCTCCTCTGTTGCCTCTCCAGCAACCAAAGTGTAACACTCCACGATGGGTTCATTTTCATCTTTCCTTCTCTTCCCATTCCTCTGGCTCAGGGGTCCCACCCCCATCTTCAAAATATGCATCATCTGGGTCTACTTCTCTGGCTTGAACTTGAAGGTCCTTTCCTATCCCTCTGGGATAAGGGCAGCTTGTGCTTCTGCCCTGTTTCTCACAGTCCTCTTGCACTGAGAGGGCATTAGGGGAAAGTCCTAGGTTGTTTTCTAGCCCCTTCCCCTCAACGCTTCTCTCTACCCCCTAGGGAGGCCCCAGCACTGCTCTTATGGAAGGGGCCAGGCACAGGTCGCCTCTGGGTTCTTCTCCTTTACTCCATTCCCTCCTGTCTAGCTGTGCCTGTTGGGCACAGCCTGATGCTGTGTGGCAGAGGTTCCCTTCACCCTTCCACAGAGGCAGTTGGTGCAGTGGAGAAAGTTCCAGACGTGGGATCAAACCTGCCTGAATTCAAACCCTGGCTTCTGTACTTATCATATGGGGAGTTCTGAATAAGCTACTTAATCTCCCTGAGCCTCAGTTTTTCATTTGTTAAAGTAACACTAATGATACCTCTCTTACAAGGTGGTTGTAAGGATTAAATGTGATCAGCATTTGAAAGTGGTATATTCTAGGCTCTCAATAAACATTGAATGTGAATTGGAACGATATGAAGTATGAGCATAGCTTTTGTTCCTCATTCATATGTAAGTGATGGTTTCCTAGTACCTGTTCTCACAGGGTCACCTTACTTTCACCTGGCCGTGTGTCCTTCCTGCCTCCCTGTCCTGGAGGGCCCTGTGGTGACTTAGTCAGCTAGACAGTGGTCCCTTGGCATGATCGGTTTGCCCAACAAGTCTGTTCACATCTACTTCTTTTTTAGCAAGGGGTCTGGGAGGGACTGGCTTGTACCAGTGTAAGACCTCTGATACTAACTCATTCATAAATTAAAAAAAGAAAAAAAGAATATATTGCCTTGGCTGGGTAGCTCAGTTGGTTAGAGTGTTCCAATATGCCAAGGTTGAGGGTTTGATTCCCCCATCAGGGCACATACAGGAATCAACCAATGAATGCATAAATAAAAAATTGGTTGGAACAACAAATCAATGTTTCTTTTTCTTTCCCTTCCTCTTTAAAAACTATTTTTAAAAAAATTAAAAAAAAATATTGAGCACAGGTACTGTGCCAGGTAGTAGGGTATGATAGAGAACAAAAACAGGATCCCTGTTTTCCTGGAACTGTTCTTTTAGGGGGAAGAGTCAGTGAACAAATAAAACTAATTTTGGATAATGCAAGCTGATCAGATAGTGACTGGGGTTAGTACAGTGGATTCGGTGCGGAGGAGGGCCTCTGAGCAGATGACATTTGAGCTGAGACCAGAAGGACAAGAAGAGGCCACCTGGGGGAGGAGGATCCCAGGCAAAGACCTTGAGATGGGAACTGAAGGAGGAGCAGAGTGGCGGGAGCACCGGGGAGGTAGCCAGGACCCTTTGAAAAAATGAGTGAAGCCCAGGGCCAGCCCCCACCCTGCCCTGGGTGGGTAGCCCTGGCCTGCGAGTCTGCAGCCTTCAGCTGGGTGGTTTTGGGAGTCATCGAGCCCTGAAAGTGAAGTGTGGTCCTGAAAGAAATCCCACAGAATTGATGTGGACGGGACCAGCAGGAGAGATGAGAAAAATGAGCTTTTCCAGGGGCTCTGCCTGCTGGGCATGATTGACAACTGCAGATAAAAGCAAAGCTGGCTCCTTCGGCCTGGGAACAGCTGCTGCCTAGCAACTCAAAGAACCAAAGGTTTTTTTCTACCCTGAGCTAAGAATTCATCCCTTGTCAGTTCTGATGAGTTTGTTATAAACCCAAGTAGAGAAATGGAGAAGTTGGGCTTTTCTTAAGTGATGATGGTGAAGGTAGTTTGAACAGGACTAGAAATAGTTTCTCAGCCCTCCCCCGCTCCGTGATGGCTGCGGGCACAGCACTTTTTAGTAGTAGGAACATTGGATAACCTAAAAGAGGCCTTCACAAAGGAATGCTTTTAGAAGATTTTATTGATACATCGGTTGTTTAAGCCCCGGCTCCCGCCCCCTTTCCCAGCCTCCCCCTGCCTGCCCTCCCCCACCGGGCACCCCTTGCCTGAGTGTTGTACTTTCTGCCTCCCAGTCTGAGATCTCCATGTCCCCACTTCCCCTGATCTCCTGTGCCCCCTCCTCTCCCTTTAGAGATTTATTTCCACCCCCTTCCTTCCTTTTGGAGCCCATCCCCTTTTCCTGTGGTGGATGGAGGTGGGGCAGCAGCTGAAGCTGTGACCCCCTTCCCCATGTAGTTTTTAGAACCCTTTGAATCCGTTCTCTGCAATAATGGGGAGGAGGCTGAGTGCAGTCTGTCCTCCGGCCCCAGCCTAGAGGCTAGGTAGAGGCGGAGCCACTTAGGTGGCATTATTAAGGTCTCCCTGACCATTAATGCCCTCACCCTGGGTCCCCCAGGAAGTCTGGAACCACCCCCCTCCCCAGGAAAGGACCAGAGCAGGAAGCTTCAATTGGTTGGGTCTGTGCCCTCTTAAGGGAGTTGGTTAACGCCCCCCCCACCCCCCCCTTTGCCTGGACTAGGGCCAGCCCTGGAGGCCTAGGGGTCTCCACTGTGGTTGAGTTTCTGGGCTGGACTGCCTGGGTCGTTCCAGCTTTGCAATGTAATTGACTGGCCTTGGGCAGGTAACTTCACCTCTTGAGCACTTCACCTGTAAAACGGGGATAATACCTCAGAGCTATTGTGGAAATAAATTCTCTGGTTTTGCACAGTGCCTGGCTGTGCAAGCTCTGTAAACAGGGCTCTTTTATGAGTAGTGCTGAGGGCCCCCAGGACTGCTGATGGCTGCTGCCTGGAAGCAGACAACTGAGCATTCAGAGCATGAGAGAGGAGTCACCAAAGGCAGGGAAGAAGGACTAGGAAGCCTCATGGCAGAAGTGGTGGCTGAGCCTCAAAGAATAGAAGGCGTTTGGAGAGGCAGTGGCCTTCCACTCGGACCTCACTCATCAGTAACCCTGCCCTGGCTCCCTCTGTGAGCAACTCTTGAGGCCTCTCCGTGGGGATGGGGGGTGTGGGTGCTGGAATGGACCTGAGCTCTGGAGCTGTAGGAGCAGCAGAGCCCAAGGATACCAGACAGAGCTGGGGATGAGACCACGCTGGCAGGTCTAGGCCTGTACATCTGGGTCCCTAGGGGACCAGCTTCTCTCTCCTCTCTGAGCCAGGCAGCAGCCATTCTTGGCTGGGCCCTCAGAGTGCTGAGCGGCCTTGCCCAAGCAGGCAGTTGTAGTGAGAGGGGGTCTGGACACCTCTGATGTTGGTGCCAGCTGGGCTATAGTTGACAACAGCAGCACTTAGGATTCAGGTTAGCGGTTGGCTCTGGGAAAGAACTTCCTTATAGGATGATCTGTTCAGATCCTAGGTAACTTTATAGGTTAGTTTGCACCTATGGGGGTATGTGTGTTCCAGCCCACATACCACCGTTTGTTTCCTAATCTGGAGGAAATTCGTAGCCTTAGAGATGGGGCATCTGTGGGGGAGGGAGGGAGAGAGGGGCTTCATGGGAGCTCTTTTCTCCATAGAAGCTGAGAATAGGGTGCCAGGGCTTCCCATCCTGGCACCTCCTGGTCTCCTCTGACCCTAATCACATAGGTCTGAGGTTTGTGCCTCCTGGATTACTGAATCCGGCTTAGGAAGCTATTTGTGGCTGATGGGAAGGGAGCAGTTGTGTTCTGGGCCCTCGGCCACTCTTCCCCTTCTCTGGCCTGACCCCGGGTCCCCGGCCTCACCCTCCCCTGGCGAAGGGAGGGGGTGGCTGTGGTGCCCTGAGCCATTGGCATCCCCGTTCCTCACTCCCTCAGAGGGGTTGATAGATTGAATTTGCAGTAGAAGAGACAGACTGAGGTCAGACCGCAAGAAGTTGTTTCTAAATGAGAGGAGAAGCTCTAAAAGTTGAGAATAGAGGAAGGGGGTGCTGTGCCCAGCACCTTCTTTCTGTGACAATAAGGTGTGTACAGGGTGAGGTAGGGGCTGCCCACTGCCATTTCCTCTTTCTGCCTTCTCCCCGCCATGGGCTCGGGTGGGCCGTCCAGGGCTCAGGCCCCTTCCCAAACCTATGTAGTTTCTGCTGGACCCCAGGGTGCCAGGTGGCTACCAGGAGGGCTTCGTGGAGGGGGCTGGCCCAGGCTTGGGGAAGAGAGAGCAACTTTACATTTACTTCCTCTTTCTGCCCCAGAGGAATAGGAGGTGCCCCCGGGGCCTGGAGGGTAATTTCCGGGCCTCTTGGGGGAGGATGTGATGCTGTGCAGGCTGACAGAGCCCCTCGCTGCACCTCTCTGCCTCTTCCTATTTGTTGCCAGGGCGTCCCTGAGCACTTGCAGTTGCTGCAGGCTGTGAGGCTTGGATGAGGCCCTGGTATTCCTGAGCTTCCTCAGGCGGGGCCCATCCGCACACCCTCTGCTGCACCTGCCACACCCTCTTCCTGTCCTCCCTCATACTCTCTGGGAGTGGCTCAGAGCCAAACTGGGTAAATGACCTTTGAAGGGGTTCCCTCTGTTCGCTAAGACTTCCTCCCATTTGGAGATCAACAGGGGATGGGAACAAAGGTGGCTCCCTTCCCCCCAAATTCCAGGCTCTGGGTTTGAGTCAGCAGAGCTTTGGCTAAGCTGCTTAGGGGAGCTGGGCTTGTATAAGCTGCTTACGGCGATAGAGGTGACCACGGGTGGGGGGAAAGGGTTGAGGAGGAACAGGGAAGGGGTTGTTCCTCTGCCCCAGCACTGCCCGGGTCAGGGGAAGTCTTGGCCTGACACACATAGACGTGGGCCAGGGATAGCTACGTGGTAGGGGTGGGAATATCCAGAGAAGGACTGGGTCTCCTGAGGCCACGTTGTATCACTCCTTTTATTTTTATTATTTTAGAGAGTAAGGGAGAGGGAAAGAAAGAGAGAAACATCAATGATGAGAGAGAATCATTGATCGGCTGCTTCCTGCACGCCCCCTGCTGGGGATCAAGCCCACTACCCGGGCATGTACCCTTGACTGGAATCGAACCTGGGACCCTTCAGTCCACAGGCTGACGCTCTATCCACTGAGCCAAACCAGCTAGGGCTGTGTCACTCCTTTTAGAGTGAGGTTTCCCAAAGCAGGGCTGTATCTTCCCTGTCATGCTAGGGGCTTCTTATGAGATTGGAGACCCGTTTGGCTCAGGGTCACTAAGCCAGCCCTGGCAGAGGCTGGAATAAGGGCCCTCAACTCCAGGGTAGGAGGGAAAATGTGGGGGAGGTAGCCTTGTCTGCCATCCTTCTCCGCCCTGCCCCTCCCTGTCCCCAGAGGCCACTAGTTGGAGACGTTTGTTTCCCATTAGATCCCAATGACGAGCTATGTCTCCCCGACACAGTGGGGTTCCTCCAGAGCAGGGGCTCAGTTCTCTCTTTCTGGAAGGCAGTGACTTTAGGGATCAGAGAAGTGTAGTTAGTCCGGGGTCCCCCAAAAGCTGAGCTGCAGCAGCCACCTGTCTCCCCTAGACTACCTGTGCTCCCCGGAGGAGAATATATATAAGATCGACTTCATCAGGTTCAAAATTCGGGACATGGATTCAGGCACTGTCCTCTTTGAAATCAAGAAGCCCCCGGCTTCAGGTGAGTGGCTGGGTGGGCCATGGACAGAGGGAGGTGGGTGCGAGCTGTGAAGTGGGCTGCCCAGGGACTCCTCAGGCCGCAGAGGGGTCAGAGCACAGCTGGGACTTGGACCCCATCATTCCCAGGAGTCATCTGGCAGGGGGCCTCTTCTTTCCCATCTGCTCTGGGATTGGACATTTTAGGACAGTCCTGTCCCTTCAGTCCCTGCCAGCCTGCCCTCTGCAGGCCTTCTTGGGAACTGCAGTCCTGGAGGCCCCAGGCCTTTGTGTCTCCTTTGGCCCTGGGAACCTCAGTTGAAAATTTTGACCTGTTGACCTAGAGCTCCCAGGTGGGACTGTCCAGCCAAAGGTCCGAACCCTCAATGTGCATCAGAATCTCCTGGGAACTTTAAAACTTTCTGAGAGATGGGAGCCCTGGGGTGAGACCCGGGATGGGCACGGGCCCCAGTCGGAAGCCCACTGAGCCCCAGCTGGGGTGCATTACAGAGCGGTTGCCCATCAACCGGCGGGACCTGGACCCCAATGCTGGGCGCTTTGTCCGCTACCAGTTCACCCCTGCCTTCCTCCGCCTGAGGCAGGTGGGAGCCACGTGAGTCACTGGGCCAGGGGGGGTAAGGGCTGGGGGTAAGGGTGGGTGGGAGTGAGCCCTTCCTGAGTTCTTACTGAGCCTCTCTTAGGGGCAGTCTGTCCTGAGCCTGGCCGGTTGACTTCAAGGCCAAGCTCAGCCCTGCCCCCTTCTCTCACTCAGGGTGGAGTTCACGGTGGGAGACAGGCCTGTCAACAACTTCCGCATGATCGAGAGGCACTACTTCAGGAATCAGCTGCTCAAAAGCTTTGACTTCCACTTTGGCTTCTGCATCCCCAGCAGCAAGAACACCTGCGAGCACATCTATGACTTCCCCCCTCTCTCTGAGGAGCTGAGTGAGTGGGCAGGGCCCTGTGGGCAAGGGGACTCAGAGACCAAGCTGGGGGGAGTGTGGTCTCACCCCCTTCCTTCCCACCCTGGGTCTCCTGTGTCTGGCACCTGTAGGGACACTCAGGCTCCAAGAGGCTGGGGGATTCTTTAGGTGGTTGAGCTTGTCCCTGTCCCATAGTCCTGAGGGCCCTGCAGTGGCCTGGCTCTGGCTCCTGACCTTTGCCCCGCCTGGCTGGGGCTCTCTTGCAGTCAATGAGATGATCCGTCACCCGTATGAGACGCAGTCTGACAGCTTCTACTTCGTGGATGACCGGCTGGTGATGCACAACAAAGCAGACTATTCCTACAGTGGGACGCCCTGACCCCCCAGCTGCCTCCTACCCCAGGAGGGTCCTGGGCCCTCAGCTGTGACTTTCCAGTGCTCACTTCTCAACCCCAGGTCTTCTGCCTGGGAGGTGTCCCAGGGGCCCTGGACCCTGAGTCAGTGTTGGGAGGGAGGGTGCCTGATGTCCCCAGCCCCAGTCCATAAAGCGCATGGGGCCTGGCATCCGGGGTGGGATAGGGTGGTAGGGGGGCTATTTGCCTCCATCTCCAGGAAGGCCTCCTATGAGAGGAGGAGCCAGAATTTCTGGACAGCCTAATTGGGCCTCTTGGGCCTAAGTTTCAGAACAGGGTTCCCCTACCCAGGCTTTGACTGGGTCAGGCAGAGACCCATTCTTTGTTTCCTGCCCACCACGTTTAGATTCGTAAATTCGCAGATGAAGATCTTGGCTGCCAAGACTCCCAAGGGGGTTTAGGCTCTGGCCCCAGCCCTAGCCTCCATCATCAGGGGCCAAGATACTGCCTGAGGTGTGGGAGGGATCGGCCCCGACTGCCACCTGTGCTAGGGGCTGGACCAACTGTATATAGTTTTCAATAAACTCTTTCGCCTTTTCTGTTCTCTGATTGTGGGCCAGCATGTGTGTCTGTTGGGGAGGTGGGGAGGAGAGTGGAGCAGGCTGTCATGTGGTCCCCCAGTCCTCTTGTGCCCTAATCCTCTTGGTACCTGGAGTCAGCATTTGGTATATGTTGCAGCTGGAAAGGGTTTTTCCTTTGATAAAAGAAGGCGATTCAGGCCCTGAGAGGGGAAGCTTTAGGCCAAAGTCATAGCCAACCCTGACAGAACAGAGGATGGGACAAGGGACCCCAACTCTAGGATGGAGGGGAGGTATGGGGAGGTGGCCTTGTTCCTTACCTTACCTTCTCTGACCCCCTGAGGCCACTAGGACCCCTAGGTTGTGCTTTTCGCCCTCATCAGAGAGAGAAGGTGGACAGGGCTGTGACTAAACTGGAGGGCTCTTGTTTTAAGCTGTCTTGGGGAGCCCCCTGGACTGGCCATCCTACATATAACACTGCCCCCCAGCCCTACCCCTCCTTCATTTCCTTAATGGAGAAAATTGAAGAACTGAGAGGTAGGTGGCGAGCTTATCTCAGGGTTCACATCCTACTGTTCCAAGCACAAATGTGGATATGCCTGGTGCTGAGGAGTTAAATCTAACCCCCGCGAGACCTACATGCACTGGAATTCAGGTGGTTCCTGTGGAGCCCTTGCTGGGGGCCAGGACCTGGGCTGGACTCTGGGAATTCTAAAATGAGTGAGACATGGGAACAAATACCCATCCTTAGAATAAGATGGGCTGGGCATATAGGGAAGCAAGAGGATTCTGGGGAGGAATCTTGGAGGAGGCAGCGTGGAACAACAGCTTGAGAACTCAAGACAACTTTGACTGGAAGAGATGGGGAGAGCATGTAGGCACAGGGAACAGCATAAAGGAAAGTTCTGGAGGCAAGATTTACCAGGTATGTTCAAGAGAGTGTATTCCTGATGTGAAAGGAAGACAGATCTGTGCAGCCTTGTTCAGGCATGGGGGCTTCTCCTGAGGAAGGTGGGGGTCATTGAGGAGGATGACCTGGCCCGACTACTGAAGGGTGGATTGGAAAGAGAGAGACTAATAGTAAAAGCTAACGTATATTGAGTGACGAGCCCAGGGCTGGGTGCTTTAGATGTGTTAACAGAATGCCCACAATCAGGCCCAGAGAGGTTAATTTGCCAACGTCACAGTTAAGTGCTGTCAGGATTTGAACCCAGGCAGTGTGACTCCAGAGTCTGCATTGAGGATGCGCTGAGGAGGGTGTTAGAGGAATTTGGGTGAGAGAAGACTGAAGAATTGAAGGCAACCTGAATTAGGTCAATATCTACGGAGATGGGGAGAAATAGATGAAGTTGAGATTTTCAGGGCTGGTGGTTGATCGGATGAGGGACTTGGAGACAGGGAGGAGTCGAGGCTGCAGCCCTGGTTTGTGACCTGCGTGTCAGGGTGAATGGGAGTGTTGGTCCTGGGTGTGGGGACCCAGGTTGGATCACGGCGGGGGCTGGTGGGAGGTGATGAGTTCAGGTTGGGGCCTGATGAGGTGTGGCACAGATGTCCTGGAGGAGGTGATCTAGAGGAGACAGGACATGTGGGCACTGAGATGAGGAAGCGGGTGAGGGCTGGAGATGGTGATGCTTGGAGGTCATTGGTCACAAGGTGATTGCTGATGCTGTGATGGTGGCTGAGATGATGGGGTCCCCATCTGACACCACTGGTGTTTAGTGAGCAGGGGGCAGAGATGCCAAATGTCCTCCAATTAACGGGGCACTCAGTGCTAATAGTCCACACCCCCAACGGAGGGTCACTGAACGAGAGCGTGTAACCCTAGGGGAGGCCAGCGAGCTTTTGAGAGCAGGTGATGGAGACAGGAAGAGCAGCCAGAGAGGTGGGCACGGGAGCCTGTTTTAGAGGAAGTTATGTTAAAGCAAAGGGAAGAGAGAATTTCACCAAGAAGCAGGTGGCCAGGAATTGTCACAAAGGTGAAGGGGTATGGTGGGGCCGGGGGTGATTTGAAGATGTGTAGGTATAGAAGTATTTGGAGTTGGAGGTGTTGTTTATGGGGTTACAAGAGAAGTTATAGAAGTTATAAAAGCCCTAGCCGGTTTGGCTCAGTGGATAGAGCGTTGGTCTGTGGACTGAAGGGTCCCGGGTTTGATTCCAGTCAAGGGCACATGCCCAGGTTGTGGGCGCAGTCCCCAGTAGAGGGTGTGCAGGAGGCAGCCGTTCAATGATTCTCTCTCATCATTGATGTGTCTACCTCTCTCCCTCTCCCTTCCTCTCTCAAATAAATAAAAATATATATATTTTAAAAAGTTATAAAAAAGGGACTTTTAGGCCTACAGTGTCAGGAGGAGGACCCTCTCTTACCACCTGATAATAGTTCTCACTGCTCCTGCTAAGTCAATAGGGTTGAAGTTCTGGATTGGGCCTGCTGCACTTCCACCTCCAGACAGGGAGGGAAGTCTCCATCCCTGGAGCAGGTACCAAGTTGGCACTCACTCAGAGAAGCCTGTATCCCTTGGCCCCCTGTCTCCTTTTTTTAAAAAAATGTATTTTTATTGATTTCACAGAGAGAGGGAGAGAGAGATAGAAATATCAGTGATGAGAGAGAATCATTGATTGTCTGCCTCCTGCACACCCCACACTAGGGATGGAGCCCACAACCTGGGCATGTGCCCTGACCTGGAATCGAACCACGACCTCCTGGTTCATAGGTCAACACTCAACCACTGAGCAACACTGCTTGGGCCTCCCTGTCTCCTTTTAAGTCTTCATGTCTCTGGCAATGGTCTGGTTGCTAAGGTGCAACTTGCTGCATTTAGTTCCTTGCGCTTTCCTTAGGAACCTAGGAGATTCCTGGGCAGTAGAAGGAGGAAAAAGATGGGGGTGGGGTTGGGGTTGGGGGTGCAGCTAGTCTGATGAGTTGTTGACTTTGAAGGTTGATCTAGACTAGGCTGGGTCTGACCATGCTCAGATTCTGTCTCTTTGAAGTCAGCCAGAGACAACGCTACCACTGGATTGAGCAGGAAAACCCAAATACTAGATCAGTGGTTCTCAACCCCCCTAATGCCGCCACCCTTTAATATAGTTCCTCATGTTGTGGTGACCCCCAACCATAACATTATTTTCGTTGCTACTTCATAATTGTAATTTTGCTACTGTTATGAATCGTCATGTAAATATCTCATATGCAGGATGTATTTTCATTGTTACAAATTGAACATAATTGAAGCATAGTGATTAATCACAAAAACAATATGTAATTATATATATGTTTTCCGATGGTCTTAGGTGACCCCTGTGAAAGGGTCGTTCCACCCCCAAAGGGGTCGCGACCCACAGGTTGAGAACCGCTGCACTAGAGGAAGACAGCCTGCTTGCGCCACCCCTGGCCTGCAGAGTGCACTTTGGGACCGCCACACCCGCTGTGCAATGCTGGGAAGTTTCCCTTCCAGCTGATGAAGAGCTGCTGTCTCGTGTCCGTAGGGCTTCCTCTCTAGCCTGGCCCAGCCCCCAAGAGCCACCCTCCATTTCCCCACCATCTGGCACCAAAAATCAAGGGTGCTTGACTTTCTTGTGTGTCACGGACCCCTTTGTTATTGTCTGAAGCATATGGGCAATATGGTTTTTATGTACATAAAATATATTGTAATCCTATATTTTATGTATTGAACACTATATATAGACACCTTGATCTATATCTATTCTGCAATACCTGTAATGTAATATGGAAACATCTGTGGTTTCTCTTCTTAATGGCAAAGTCACAGCTTCTGCTAAAGCTACCGTGCTTTGTTGCTGGCATTCGTAATCAAGGGAAATGCTAAAGTTGAGGTAGAGAGGAGTAAAAACGAAGGTGTAATTTCTTTCATTGGACCCATGAATTCTAACCAGTTTAAAACCAGGGGTAGAACCCCTGAACAAAAGGGATCATTTCCCTCCCAGGGTCTTCCAGACCCTGCATCCATTCAGGCTGTTGCTCACCCTAAAATGGTGGTTGAACGCTTGGTGTAAGGTGGCCAGCAGAGGGCAGCATATGAGCGGGAGTGTGGGGCTCCGCTCAGAGGCACTGTTGCTCAGTTTTAAAAGTCTAAGGGCCAAGCCTTAGACTTTTTGTTACAAACAACAACAACAAAAGAAACTCCAAGTCCCATCAACTTGCTACCTGTCTTAGCTGCGTGGGGGCCAGTTCACTCGTAGGTGTGATGCATGGGTCCATGGGACAGAGGTCTGACTGAGGAGCCCTGGAGCTGTCCTCTGCTCACCAGCTAGGCTGGAGGTGTACAGTACAGTTTGTCTGAGGCCCCAGGGTTCGGAGTCTGAGGCAAGGAAGCAGGTCCCAGTAAAGTTCTCTCATGAAACACTTGCCTTGTTCTTGGGGACTTGGGCATTCAGACCCAGGCCTAGGGTTGGTCAGAACTAGGGGATACCATCACCTGGGGGCTTGACATTGAGCCTTCACCCTCTCCTATACAGCCAGGGCTGGGTGGGCTGTCGGGGTCTTTCTCTTGGGTGTACGGACTGGCCATGCTTCTCCCACTCCTCACCCTACCCTATCCCTCTAGACCTGGACCCCGCCTTAGAGCCTCTTGTGGGAAGGTACTGGCGTGTCTCCGTCTAAGATCTGCAGAGCTGCCCTCTGGGACAGGCAGGCGATGTTGGCCGGCCCCCGGGCCTGGCCCCGGGAAGAGCTTTCAAAACACAGGCCCCACCTGTGGCTGGTGCAAGACTGAGGCTCATGCGAGTGCTTTTGGCTCCTACAGCTTCCCATCCCTGTTCAGGCAGACTGGGGGGCTGCCTCTCAGGCTGCCCTTTGGTG